TTGTAGCTGTTTTGCATCTTTCGCAGCAGGAGATGAAGGTAAAGTACAAGCAGCTCAACATGGTCAGTCCTCCAGTAAAAGTACTCAGTTACTCCTGAAGCTGAGGATACATAGTGCCAGAGCGCCATCTGCTGGTGGTCTGTTGCTGCTGCCGCTTCTCTCATATCTGTGGATCTCTGAGTGTCTGTTGTGCTCTAGGCTGATATCACAGCATCCTGCAGAGCATCACCAGACAGAAACATTCTGGAATCAATTCTGAATCATGAACAAGGTTCACATTTAGAAAAGCACAAGTTCAGCTCAGAATGAAAAATGAAAAAGCCTCCAATGTAAATCTGTTTGGTTCCAGTCACTTTTTACTGGTTTTACTGTTTCCTGACACTTTCTAAAGCGACCCATCAGCAGATTTGTTCTCATCCATCTTTTTCTTCTTCTGATCAGAGTCTGTCTGGTGGCAGCAGATCAGCAGCACAGTGTTTTTCAGCTACTCCTGGAGGATCCCAGGCCAGATGAGATCTTCCAGTGAGTTCTAGTCTCCTCCTAGAACCCTACAGAAGAAGGTCAAGGAAGTATCTGAACCTCCCAGTCAATGAGTTCCAGCCTCATCTGGAGATTTGTGACATGATCCCAGTTCTAGGAGTAGATGTTGAGAAGACGCTGGACATTGTGTGGAGCAACTCATACCTGTGTAGAAGCAAATGTCCACCTCCAGCAGACTGACAGACTTCTTCTTGAAATAAAGAATGAAGACGCCGAAAGGACATCCACAGGACACGGTGGGAGTTTCCCTCTGAGCTGGATTATGACGCTGTATGGATGCACAACCCAGTCTCATGGCAGTTCATAAAACAGTCACAAAACCTAATCTATTGATTCGTGTCCAGAGATATGTATTGCCCAAAATTTTCCTGTCCCCCCAACGAATTTCAAACCAATACATTTCAATAGGACTTAGACGTTTATTCCCTATTAGACAGCATATATACTGTGATGTTTTTGTCGTTCTTTTTTTCCAACAGTCAGGCATTAACCAGTTTTTCTGTTATGGCCCGTCCACACTAAAAACCATAGAGATCACTATAAAGATGTGTGTGCCCACACTGACCAACACTAACATTCTGTAAACACTGGCGCTGAGCAGGTGTGCTCCAGCTGCATATAAACTCTGTATCCATTCAAATAGAAAAGGGAAAAAATATCCAGGTATTTTCTGGATGAAGTGAACACACACATTGATAATGTTCATAGTTACATTCTCAGTTGAAATGTTTTCAAAAGTTAGTAAAGTGATGTATGAACAGAAAATACTTGTGATTTTACTCTGTTTGGGCTACATGCTCGTTGTTACTTTCATTTATCTGTCTCTCTATTTTTTTTCTGGGATGCTTTCATTGCAGTCAATCTAGTGTCCCGGTAGGTTCGTAGCTATTGATTGTCTGTTGCATGCTTCACTTAAATGTCAAATCACTTAAATGTCAAATAACTGATTCTTTTCTCTGCAATTACTCATCATTTTGGTTCTGACATGCAGTAATTTATTAAAATGTAAAGTACAGAAGGGCTGGACCTGAATATCTGAATACTTGATAATTGTAGTGGTATCCGGATATTAATTTTGAGATCTGAACACTCCCCCTCCCCCAGCCCAGTAGCTACTTTACTGTCATGGAGCATCTGCACCAGCAGCAGCGTTCCGGGAGGCGGAGAAGGAGCCGACAGAAAGGCATGACAAGGACACTGCTGCTGTGCCACCGCCAAAAAAATAAAACAGCAGGAGATATCCACGCTAATGCTGTCGGACTCCAACACCCTGAGGAGCAAGATCGAAGTGCCAAGCAAGAGATGGAGCAGTATTTGGCAGACTCTGCTAAAGTCTAGTCTGGCCCACTTGGATGATGGAAACAGAACTGTGACCACTATCCTAAACTGAGTTTGTTTAAATGCCCCTAACTGTGTTAATAAATAAAGAAACGAATAATATAACTACATGAATAATATTCTGTTATTTTTCTATCGCTTGTATTGTTTCTGTGTATCTGTCTATCTAGTTTCTCTCTCTCTCTCTCTCTCTCCATTGTACAGTGTCTGTTTTTGTACTTGTCTCTCTGTCTGTCTCTCTGTTGCTATTTTATTGAAATGGCCACCCAACATAAACTTGACCCCCAGAATTCCCACTATCAAGAAGGGAGACGCATGGCTCTTGAGCTGAAACGTGACCACATTCTAGCTGAAGCCAAGGTTAGTGTTTTAATACACCTCAATCAGTTTGTAGTTGAACATATAGATGGTTGAATGTAATAAACTCATGAATGTGCTGAAAAACATGAGTGCAGAAGATTATATATGGGTGTGTTGTATGATCAGCTTTAGCAATTGACATCCTATCATGCCATGCCCATGTAATCAGTTGTTTAGCACCTTACTAACACAATATGTTGGTTTTCCTGTCATATATATCCAGTGTTTATTTTCAGTAACTTTAATACCGGCCATTCTGAACAGTGGTGTTTAGACAGAGGTGCTGTGCTGCTTGATCCTTAAGGTTTTTTTGACCAAACCATGTCACTGACAGTTCATGAAGACACCCAGGACCTGTGTTAGCTTGTGAGAAATAATATAAGTCCTTTAAGAAATGTTGGTCTTCCAATACTTTCAGCTGATGAGAGAAAACGACCACGCTCTGGAGGAGACACTGTATAGATTGGTAAGACGCACTGTGGCAAACCAAGAGGGAGGCTCGGAGGGAGACGCAAATCCTCAGGAACAGGTTCATGTCCAAATAAATTCACATTTTACCCAATTCAAATTTAAGCATCTGAACTGATCATGAAAAATTTAAAAAATCCTGTATCTGTGATACATTTTCCCCAATTATGGGAAAAATAGTGCTCAAGAGAAAAGTAATGTTTGGTTTCACAGGTTGTTAGTATGCAAATTAAAAAGAATAATGCAGTGATAGCATATCCTGTTCTTATATTTCCATGTACTGCTGTACAGTATTACCCAGCCCTGCTGATTGCTATGTGTCATTAATTGTGGAGGTTCCTGGTACTGTACAACCAGCACAGCTAAAAAGGAATTTGGTAATCACAGTGACGAATTGTTTTTTCTTTTAAATCTAAAATTATTAGATCTATTATCTACAGCTAATTTCAGTTATCAGTAATTCTTATACACATTTGACAGTTTCTTCATGTTGATGAGGAGTAAATGATATTTGTGTAAATTATTCGTTACAGCTAACCCTAAATGAGACACACTCAGAGGTCCCCACACAGTCTGTGGGCCGATAGTGAACGCAAAACCTGCACCTCCTCTGAGGCTAACGTCAAACACACCCTATGTCCATATGATGTTTTTTATATGCTGGAAGACATTACATGAGCAGTCAACACCACAGTATAGCATTTCTACGTCAGCACTGCAGTGTTCAGAAGGCCAATGACTAGAGCCGCACTTTAATTTCATAATGATCTGACTTCCCTGATTTCAAACAGCAGAAGCTAAAAGAGCATGTATAAACACTGCTGGTCTATTTTGAAGCAAACTGAATATGCAATAGCGGTCGCTTATTCTTTGCTACATGTGCTGTTTTAAAAACACATGGGGGCATAAATTAAGAGCATACCAACATCTCCAAGCACCACTAAACCTCTGATTAGTGGTAACAAAGTTGTTCCCTTTGAGTCTGAGCGGCTTTTCCAGGGAAAAGGTGCATGTTAGTGCAACTTCTGTTGTTTTCAGGCAAATATAATGTGTGTTTTACCTTTTGAATATTTATTATGTCTGTCAAGAGAGCTATGTAAATATGATAGTTTGTGTGCAGTTTGGAGCTCTTCTAATTGTCTGTAAAAACTATATCTGCAATAAATTCTTATCATTAACCTAAAAAACAAAACATGACTGGTGTTTGATCAACATCATTTCCTACGTCAGAGTGAATATCTTTGCTGGTGTCCTGTTAAGTTCAAAGTTCAACTTAAGCTGTATGTTGTGAAACAGGTCTCTGACTTGTTTTGTGTGAGCTTATGATGTAAGTAACTCAATGAACCATACGAAGTCCTTTTACCTTTTCATGTTTGTGTCACAGACAGAGACGAAAGCCATAAACTAACGATGATCACGCAGAGACACACTGACACAGAGACAACATGCACCACCTGAATGTGGCTCTTTATGACAATACGCACAGTGTTTTATCAGTAAACATTAAAATTAGAGGTGCTATAAAAAAAATCAGACAAGGTAGACAAGGACAATGAGTCCTGTGGTTTGAACTTTAAACTTCTTCATGATCATGCAGGGAGAGCATGTCTGAGCTGTATGTCAAGAGAAGTGCTGAGTTAGTCAATCCCAGTATAAGCTATTTGTCTTTTTTTTTTTTTTTTTTTTTAATTTAGGTTATTTTCCAAGGATGATGTAGTGATACTACTTTTTTGGACTATATCCTGTCTATATTCTGAATCGGATAAATTATTTGGCAGATATAAAACTAAAACAGTTAAGAAAATTTGTCTGGCTGATTCATTAAAACATAATAGGAGCCCAGAAACTATATGAAAAACACAGAGCATTTGCTGATACTGTTGAATGTAGGGATTAATGCAGCAAACACTCATGAACACAATGAAACCAGATTGCATTGAGACAAAATTTTTACTCAAAGCATTTTGCAGAACTGTACATAACTTACATGCAGACTGACAAAAACTCATTTTAGCTGAGATCCCAGTGATCGGGGAATAAATTGAGGCTATTTCTACCTTAAAATAAAACTCTTCCCTATCTTTGAACTTTGCTCTCTTAAACCTGGAGCCACAGAAGTGATCAAACACACCCCTCTCTGTTAGGAAGGACACATGTGATTGGCTAGAGGAGTTACACACCCCTGTTCCTTCCCCTATCTCTGTTGTAGAGTCCACTTTTTAACTTTGCAGAATCGCTTACCTATTTCACTTACGGCGTTAGGTCGCAGTCCTGGTCCCACGCCTGACAGCAAAATGTCTGAGACAGGAGCCTTCGATACCAACGTGCTGACCCTCACCAGGTTTGTCCTGGAGGAGGGCAGGAAGGCCCACGGAACTGGTGAGCTGACAAACCTGCTCAACTCCATCTGCACTGCTGTCAAAGCCATTTCCACCGCTGTCAGGAAGGCTGGGATTGCTAACCTGTGAGTAGCGTTTTAAAATTCTTCACACATGTGAATAGCAAAGACTTGCATGCATTTGAAAATGCAAGTTAATATGTGCACTATTTTACTTTCACAAGTTTAGATTTTCACTCTGTTTTACCTAAAGCTGCAAACAACAACATTATCAATTAATCTGTTGATATTGTTTTTAGCTGAAAAAATGTTAGTTGCAGTTAAATGCAGTGTAACCTGAGAAGCAGGAAGCTGTTGTAACTAAGCCCCCGGCCAAAGGTAAACTCTGCACATGTTGTGCACAATCCCCCAGGGCAGAGGTCAACAAGATAATAGGTTTCTCAGGCCTTTCTCACTGGTGCAAGATGCCTTGTGTTGATTGTTACCACATTTCCTGTAGTGGGTTAACAGAAAGATTTTTTTTAAAGTTAAGTTTCTTTTCTGTCCTCTCTGGGAAGATATGGCATCGCTGGAAGCACCAATGTGACCGGAGACCAGGTGAAGAAGCTGGACGTCCTGTCCAATGACCTGGTCGTCAACATGATCAAGTCCTCCTTCACCTCCTGTGTTCTGGTCTCTGAGGAAGATGAGAAGGCCATCATCGTGGAGCCAGACAAGAGAGTATGTGCACCTGGACACTGTGTAAACTCATGTTTGTCTGAACAGGCCTTTTTTTCTTTGTAATGTTAATAAAATGTATTTTTCTCTCACCCCACAGGGAAAATACATTGTGTGCTTTGATCCACTGGATGGTTCCTCCAACATCGACTGTCTCGTCTCCATTGGAACAATCTTTGCTATCTACAGAAAGGTCAGTGACCCTGATAGAGTTATTACGACAGCCCTTTGTTCAGCATCGCAGCAGTTCAGCTATGGATAGTCCTGCGTTCATACTTTCATCTGTGCTAACAGCACAGCTCTAAGGATGGCAGGTTGGTCAGTCTAAACTAAAATATCACAAATTAGATTGACGTGTAATGTTGTACAGAGATTCTTGGTCCCCTGCCTTTGAGTGAAACATCTCAACATTCGTATATTGACATATCAGAGTGAGATTGTAAACATGGTAAATAGCTGCTTAAAGGAGACATTTTAGTTAAGCTTTAGTTCAAACTACCACTATGTCCCTCACACGGCTGCTAGCATGGCTGTAAACCACCAGAGTTTTGCAAAAAACATGGACAAGGTTAGCTGTCCAATGGTCTCACATAACATTTACACAATCTAGGTTATATTTAACTTTCATGGAAGAGTTGTATTTTAATCCAAACAATGATATTTTACTTGGCCTAACCAAACAGCAAGAGAAAACACAACTCAAGCATAAGAATAATGGTACCACAGAACTCACAAGCCCAAGTTTCCAGCCTCCTATTGTGGACTTTGTGGTTCATTCAAACTGGAAGCCTTTCTGCTATGTCATAGTGTAACATAAATGAGAATGTGGTTTAGTTGTATAGGAACGTGACGTTTGTGAGTCAGAGTTAGTGTTAACACTGTTGCCAGCATTGTATTCATCTCCACATATATCACTGTGTGAAAAACCCCATGGTAACTGTGTGTTGCATCTCATTGGCCCTCAAAATGCATTTTCAATTTCTGATATTTTTCCTCTTTGTTCTACACAGACCACAGATGGGGAGCCATTAGAGAAGGACTCTCTGCAGCCTGGAAGGAACATCGTAGCAGCTGGTTACGCCCTGTATGGCAGTGCCACCATGATGGTGCTCTCCACCGGTCAGGGAGTCAACTGCTTCATGCTTGATCCTGTAAGACTAAAGTTTTACTGCAATAGTTTGTATTAAAACCATGACATCAAGTGGGTTCGCTCCGGTGAACTATCTATATTTGAATGCATCGTAACATCTCCCATGTGTCTTTTTCAGGCAATTGGTGAGTTCATCCTGGTTGATCGAGATGTGAAGATTAAGAAAAAGGGAAAAATCTACAGTTTGAATGAAGGATATGCACAGCATTTTTATCCAGATGTCACAGAGTACCTACAAAAGAAGAAATATCCAGAGGTAAACCCAACAAGTGTATTAAAATCTGCATCAGTGTGATTACTATGGTAAAAATGAAAGCTTTTAAAAAGTAATTAATCTGTTTTTTTGTTTGTTTGTTTGCTTTTAACTATTTATTATTTTAAAAATGTTTTCCGGTTTTGTTAAACTACAGACAATGACGAGTAAAATCACAGAAAACTGCATAGTTTTAAATATTAACCCTGAAACAGATGCCAAAAGTATAAGTAATATCCATTTTAACTGTTTGTATTTTTACAAATGGTAATTCATTCTTTAATAATGTTTCTCAGTAAAATTACAGAACTTTGTACTGGATTTAAATCACCAAAAATGTTGTTATTTTACAAATATTTGACATCATTTGAAAAAACAAATTATGTATATAAAGGACTGAAAAATGGCAAATATTTTTTTTAAATTATACTGCACATTTTACCTGTTAAATTAAAAATAATGTCTATTAAAGTCATAGAGAAAATTATATAGAATTTACATGATAAACATAAAAGACAGATTAAAACTGTTCATAATGTTCAAATCAAAAATCATTAAAAAGTTTGTATAAAAAGTTTATTTCCTCTATTCAAATTAGCTAAGAAATATATCCAATTATTTTACATATATTTGCCATTATATACACAGTTTCTACAGTTTGTCCCCCCAGTATTCCCCCATTTTATAATGTTTTTTTTTTTGCCGCCAGACTTTCACTTTTTTTTTTATTTTTTTTTTTACTGATTTTCTTTTTTACTATTGTGATCCTAATGTGGAATTGGCCATTTCTAATTTTATTTTGTGAATTATTGTATAACATTATGAAGATTATATAATGTTCAGAATCATAAATTGTTCTGTTCTGTTCTAGGACGGTTCGGCTCCATATGGCAGTCGATATGTCGGTTCAATGGTGGCAGACGTCCATCGTACTTTGGTGTATGGAGGAATCTTTTTATATCCTGCTAATGTCAAGAGTCCTAAGGGCAAGGTGAGCTAGTTAAGCTTCTACAAATTTGGTATATTTCGCATTAGGCTGCTATAATATCCACACATCAAATATATTGTTATCCTGTCACAACACTTATGTTCTCTGGTTTTCAGCTGAGGCTGCTTTATGAGTGCAACCCCATGGCCTTCATCATGGAGCAGGCAGGAGGCATGGCTACGACTGGATCCACAAATGTCTTGGACATCCAGCCCACCAACATCCACCAGAGAGTCCCTGTGGTCCTGGGGTCCCCTGATGATGTGCAGGAGTATATTTCCATCTACAAGAAGCACAACAAATGAGGTACTCAGCTCTACTATGTCTACTTGTAGTGCAAAATAGGCATCAACTAGTAAACTGAGACAAAAAAATACAAATAATTGCTTTTTCTTAAATTTAGCATCTCAAGCCTGGGGATGAGCAACCAAAATCAGGACTGACAACACAATCAAGAGGCTCAGTCAGGACATTCCTTCCTCCTTTTATTCATTCCTTCTGTTGCACTGATGAACAAACCAGGAGCTTCACTGGATCCATCAACTCTGCCTCACACTGTGCTCCTTACATCTTGCTGAAGTGTGTTATTTGTAGAGAATTACTCTGTATTTTTTAAATAAAGACAAATGGAAAGATGCTGTAGTTTTGAGTGAGCTGCCAAAGTTCAGTGTCTGTGTATGGGTTGTCATGTGTGTTTCTATGTAAGAACAATTTTTTCTATATATGTAATGAGAAAGATCCCACAAACGTGACTTTATCAACTCATTTAGCAAACCCAAAATGCACAATTTGATCTGAGGTATAACAGCATGCTGATGCATTTTCACATGGGGAAGAAGCAGCAAGAGCCGGATTTCAAGCTTGGAGCAAGTCTTACTCCAAAACTCGCTCATTAATGGTAACAAGGCCAAGGTCTGCTCTTTCACATTCCCCACCCAGGATTGCAGTGCTACTCTGGGAATATGCTTCTCTATGGACTCCGATTTCCCCTAAATTAGTACCATTTTTATGTATGAACAATGTTTTCCTCTGACATTGCTCCTAAGAAAGCTGAGCACGCAAATCATTTTATTATTTATTAGGACATAATTGCATTTTGGGATGCAAGCCCAGATATCTCAGTACAAGTACAAGGACAGTATTGTTTCTCAGTCATCTAAATAACCATAAATCAGAAACAGCACGGGTTGTTCTGTTGTTAACAAACACATGTGAATGTACAGATGGGTGACAAAACTTGAATCCTTGACCCCTACAGTGAGGGAGTCCAGTGACCCTGTGTTGCTGTGGAGACATGTTGTTGGCATGTTTGGGTCTACTTGTCCTCTTCGAGGGAAGGCTATCTGCAAAAAGAAGTTCTGAGTGATCATCTTGATCCTATGATTAAACACTTGTATCCTGATGAGAGTGGACTCTTCCATAATGGTAATGCCCCAATCTAAAGAGCACGGGGGGTTAATTAAGCATAAAAAGGATGTGGATCATGTATTCTGGCCTCCGCAGTCACCGGGTCTCTGCCGAATTAAACACCCATGGGAGATGTTAGACAGCGCTGTCTGCCATCATCATTAAAACGCCAAATCAGGGAATATCCTTCTGAAGAACTAATGCAAAGGTACGATAATGCTGCGATGATGGCACCATTTTTTTTTCTTGTGGTTTGTCAATCGACTGTATGCAGTATGAATCAAAAATGTAAACAGCTTTGTCTTTAAAGCTAAGAGGTTTTCTAAGCATATTTGGGATCTCACGATTTAGTTTGAACATCTTTAAAAGGAACAGGTCGACATTCAGGAGAACCACATCTTCACTTTCTTTCAGAACTACATGTAAAAAAAAAATGCATTAAAACAACAAAAACTAAATCATCAAAAGCCTCTTCTCGTCTCCTGGGAAAACAAATAGATAAAACCACAAATTGTTGATTTAGCCAACAGCACAAATAAATTAATTTGTGAACTTTAGAAGTGCAAGTATGTAGATATTGTTACCGCTGGACAGAGTTTCCTCTCTCTCTGTAACTTGCTGCTGACTCTTCACATCAAATGAAGATTGGCGTTAAAAACTGAGCTTTAGCCGTGAAGGTGTTGTTACCTTTGCCAGGCCTGATCTTTCTGCTGTTTTTAGTCTTTATGCTAAACCACCAGCTCCAGCTTCAGATTTGTTGAACATACATGAGAGTGGTGTCCATCTTTTCATCCAGCTGACAGCAGGAAAGTGAATTAACCATACTTATAAAGGTGGTGAAGTGTTCCATTTACCTGAAAGAGCCTAATGTTAGAGGCCCAATGAACATCTTTCTATTTGTCCATTACCAACACTCATGTCCTTCAGATTCTGTGTTTCTTTGTCAGCTCTTCATCATTTCTGGCATCAGAAACACACCCTGACTGGCTTTAGTGGTGCCAGAAATGTTCCAGCTTTGCCACAGCACTAATGAGCCATAAAGACTCATGGAGAAAAACAAAAAGATACAACAGAGTGCTAACACAAAAGCCTCATTCAATCAATCAAGTTTATTTAGGAAAGCAGTCATTATGGTGTGTAGAACTACAGAGCCTACAAGTCAGAATATACAAACTGTGTTTTCCCCCATGTTTCACCTACTGTAGCTTCCAACACGCAGAGATTTAAAGTCTGATACGGATCTTAATGAGCTCTTAATAATGCCGCAACACAATAATAACACAGTTGTGTGGACCACTGGCGGCTGATGTCACTCGGAAACTTGGCATTGAAGTGTTAAAGCTCCTCTGAGAGCATAATGGAATTTTTATTGCCTTTTTTAACTTACGCCTTGGCAATTTAAAGCCTCTGGATGTGAGAATATTGTATGTGAGTCATATAAAAGTTAAGTGATGTCAACTAAAAGCAGATGCCTGATCTGAGGCAGAGAGCTGAATGCTTTTGAAAGAACTCCTTTGTATATATAGAGAATACATAATAATTTATGTAGCTCCAGTACGCTGGATGGAATCCATATTGTCTGGTATTCGCTAAAGGCTAAACCACTTCCTTTTTTTAATGTGTGTTTGTCACTGTCAGCATTCGAGAGGGCCTCCGTGCCCATGAGACACACAAACACTTACACGTTTCAGGCACACTTGTTTATTTCGATTTTGCTCAGACTGTGTATGATTATAGGTTACAGAGTCAATATTTAGATTTTGCAGGAAAAGCAAAAGACAGACTGTTTATTTTTCCCTTGCTACTGAGTGTGGTGTCTGTGTGTGTGCTGTATGTGCGTGTGTTTGCACATGTGTAAGGACAAGATAAGATGGCACATGTTGGTTTGAATTTTTTTTTTTTTTCCTAGTAAGTCTTTAAAAGATATGAACAACTTCAAGGATTATTGTCTGACTGCACTACAGTAGCTTTTTAGAAAAGGCATTTGCTTTGTTGACCTCAAAGAGCAGATTTGTATCTCGCTGCATCATTGTCGGACTTTTTTCATCAAAAACAAACCAAATCAAGAGCAACATAGAGCAACAGAATATTTTAGAAAACCATGTTGCCATGGCCACTTCTGCCACCTGACTGTCTGTTAGTTTACTGAAACCTCAAACATGCATTTATTATATACCAAATTTGCATTCTGGCTGTTTAATGTGGTTTATGCAACACTGATTTGTCCCCCCTCACCCTTTAACCATGACAGGTCAGTACCTGTTGCTTCCTGCTGTAGTCCTTCAGCATCTCACTGACATCCAGCCCATGTCCAGACAGGCTCTGTTTACTTTACACTCTGATGAAGAGTGTAATAGCGGTGCGTCTGTGGTGTGTCTACGCAGCTGACAGCTTACTCAACAACATCACCAACCTCTGCCTGTCTCCCAGCTCAGTTGTGCTTGTACTAGAAGGAGATGACGATCACAGAAGAAGACAGATCCTCCAACTTATGGAAAAGCAGAAATGGAAGAAATCAAAGAATGTTAATCTTTGAAAGCTATACTGCCAAGTCAGTCATGTCACTGTTTTTTTTTTTTTTGTTTAAAAAAAAAATAAATAAAAAAAAAGTACATCTCCAACAGCCAAAATACTTTCAAGAAAAAATACTATGATTGATAAATTAATGGAATAAACTTAGATATTGAAGTTAAGACCCTATAATGTTATTTTTGGTGTGATTTTACCTGACTAATTTACATATTAGGCATTAAAATCTTACAAAAGTTATAGACAATTTTTCTTCACCTGATTTTAATACATGATAAGGCTGAGACCCTAATATAATAATGTAGCTTGCGAATTATAGAATCTAACCTAATTAATATAAATATGAAGACTGACATCCTGTAATTATGGAGAGTCCCCTGACTAATTTAGAGCTAACCCAACAAATCCAAGAATTCCTTTACATCCCCTTTGAGCAAGCTTTGTGTGTGTTTGTTTGTTTGTTTATGCATAAATTGTTTTAATTATTTTGTATCAAATTTTATTTCCACAGAGAAAGGATTGACTCCCTTGTAATAAAACGTAGTTCAGACATGAACTGCATGAATGCAATATGTTAAAAAAAAAAAAAAAAAAAAAAGTTTTCTTAACACATCTTTCAGCAAAATGCAGCGGAATTAGGTCCTAGTCAGCTCGAGGACAACACATTTCCACAGGACAAAACGGGACTGGATTAATTTACAGCCTTTAATTGTGAATACAGAGGAAATAAATATGAGGCAAACAGATTTGTTCAAGCTATGCGGAGAAGCTTATTGGATACACTCTTAAAACACAGCCAAGCCCTTTGGCAAGAATGAAGAACTTTAATCAGGTGTGACACTTGACAGATATTTATACCTGCACTTTATTCTTGTAGCTTGAACAGAGATTTTTTTGTTTGTTTCTCATATGATGTTAGCCCTCTGATATAAATGATTTGCTTGAGTTGTCACATTTCTGCTGGGTTGTCAACTCTGACAAACATTCAGGTCCTCTTTGTACTTTTATCCCTGTAACTCTAAGAGAGGTCTGTGTTCCTGTGTTCCTGACATGGTGGGACAGTTGATCACTGACTATGGCATTTCCCATCCTTGGATTTAACAACCAAATCATCCAATGACAACTGTACACCTAGTTTGAATATGTCTGCTTGCCTCATGCCTTTGTCTACTTTGACCCTCAGACACTCAGTCTTGTAATAGCTTTTTAATCTCTTACATTTTTCCCACTCTCAAATCGACATTTTTTTTTGTCCAGTAGTTTGGTTAATGAGTGAAAACCTGCAAAGGTTGGCAAGCTTAAAATGTACATCACAAACCAGTGACTTCCATTATAAACACAGTTTTCTCTGTCACATTGTGTACCGTGTAGAGGCTTTATAACTTCAGTCCTGATACTTTATTAAATCTACCATCTCGCCCTCTTGTTTAACTGATCGGCATGGCTTTTCTCAGCACAGTGACAGTACGCAGATCCAGAGAGTCTTTGTTTAAATTAAACATAAACTCTGTCTCCCAGACCACCCTGAGCGGAGCTAACTGCTAATCCAAATACTGGCCTAACCGTCGTCCAGAGAGGATCTGTATTTGTACCTGATACGTCATGCATCAAATATTCTTATTTAGAGGTAGGACATCCCACACAGAAGCTTCCTTGGTAGCCACATATCATACGAGAACCCACATTTTCACATAGAAAACGTCAAC